CGGTAATGGAAACGGTTGTGTACATTTTGCTGTACACTTTACTTATTCAAAACAGCGCGTACTGTACATTTTGTTTTAGAATTCCATTAGAAACACTGCTGGTACGTGCCCATAGCCGGATGAATAATTGAATCAATATCAAATAATGCACTATGTGAGGGCGCCACATATTTGGCCACTTTTTCGAAAACTATTTTAATGATAGTTTAAAAGTCTAAAAGTGTTATACAAATTTTAGTAATATCAAATTCTCAGGCTCAACTCGCGTTTACGAGATCGTCACTTATTGGCTAGTTGCTAACAATGGCCATAACAATGTTTCAATACAGACAGTGATTGCTAACAATCACACTCTCAGTATTTTTTTTCTTATCATTCCGAAGTACACCTGACGTATCAATACAAAGTTTATTTAACCCTAGTTCTACCCAATGGGGTTAAAAATAACCTCACCGCAGGAAAAAGAAATTTAATTGAAATATCTTGTTATTTTTGTTTTAAAAGTATGTAGTACCCCATGAGAAAAAAAAAGAATAATCAAATTAAAATCGATTAGAAAATGATTAAAAATCGATAATAATCATACACCTTTAATCGATATCTCATCAAGAATAATAATAAAAAACAACTTTTCATCAATTATTCCTATTATTTTTAATTATAATCGATTGAAGTTGAAAAAAATAATTCATTATAATCGATGTTAACATAAGGAGATCGATTAAAGAGTCTGCGATTTACTGTGACGAAAAATTGATTAAAATCGATTTTTTTTTGCACAATTTTTAATCGAATATAATGAAAAATAATAGGAATAATCGAGGAAAACTTGTTTTTTTTGATTATTTTTCATTATAATCGATTCATAATTGATTAAAAATCGATTAAAGGTGTATCATAATAATTGACTTTTAATCATTTGCTAATCGATTTTAATCTGATTATTCCTCTTTTTTTTCACATAGGACTTTTCACGATTTTTAATTTAAAGTCGACCGTTTTTATCACACGCGCAGAGGACGTGCCATAAGGTGAAATTCTATTAATTTCTCGGATTTTTCTTTCAATTAGAATTTTCCTATCTATTGTCATGTTGATCAATTGACATTAATTTCAAATAGTGAAAAAAATAACTCTACTGTATCTCCGCATATCATTTCATCTTCTGTTCGTCTCTTATTGATGCGGCATGTAATCATTAATACTCAAACATCATTAATTAATTATAATCAATTATTTACTTTAATACGATTTCATCTTATGGCATATCCTATGCGTGCAGTGTTTCTAATGGAATTCTAAAACAAAATGTACAGTACGCGCTGTTTTGAATAAGTAAAGTGTACAGCAAAATGTACACAACCGTTTCCATTACCGAAGGGAAGCGAAAGAGCAAGAAAAAGAAAAAGTTCTAGTAAAAACTGAGATATATTATAAAATTTTCCAGAAAAGTGTACACGCTGCTTTTTTAAGCAAAGTGTACAGCAGCGTGTATTTTTATAGCTGCAGATGTTTGTACATGTTGCTTCTGCAGTGTACACCAGAGATGGGACCGGTTCGGTTTTTAACCGAACCGAACCGACCGACCGTAACTGAAATCGGTTCGGTTGGAGATTTTTAAAAAATTCGGTCGGTTACGTTCGGTTCGGTTAGAGATTTTTTCGGTTACGGTCGGTTCGGTTAGAAAGACTCGACATAATCGTTTCATTTGAGTTCAATGGACTTTTTCCGTGAAACATAAGAAGAAAAAAGAATATAATCGTACAACAATTAGCTGTTGCTCGCAACGCGGATTATCTCACATATTTTAAAAATTTGCCCTGAGAGGTAAGGAAGTTATAATACAGTAAGAAGATCCAATGAATAATCTTTATTCTTTGCTTTCTCTAAATGTTCATTATTTTTAGTTGCTGTTGTTTGATTTGTTGTTGCTAATTTATAAAGCACTAATACCCTAATTAACATAAACTAAACTTCGCTTTCTCTAAACACGGTTCGATTACGAAATTTTTGAAATCCGGTCGGTTACGGTCG